TGTGGGGCTTGACTAATCACAGCTGTGAGCTCCTAGCTTGCCTTTGAGTGGGTGAGAAAGCTGTCGGTAGCCGGGCATACCATCAGCCTGCTCTTTGTAGATACCAGCTGAAATTACTGAAAAAGGATAAAGGCTGCTCATGCCTTATCATTTCCAGGACTGTACGTATGGCACGGAGATCATAGCCAAGTGGAAGAGCCTTTTGGAAAACGATCAGCTGTTATCACACAGTGGGCAGGACCTGTCAACAGATGCTTTTCACAGGTAAAGAGCAAATGAGTTGTACCTTGTACAGCATCTTCAAGTGCTGCTTCCTCAGAGATGGAAAAGAACAGATACAAGCGTGCTTTCCAGATGATTCTCTTGATGTGTCTGTTAAAATCCAGCTGTCAGCTATATAAAAAGAAGTAGCTTTTAAATAACAGTTACCATTTGGTTTATTTAGGCCTGGGGCTATAGCTTTAAGCTTAACTTTGACATTTCCCCCCTCCCCCCCCAGACTGATGTGGGAAATCTGGATGCCATATGTCAGAAACATAGTGGCACAGTGGCAACCGAGGAACTGTGGATCAATGGTGGATTTCTTGGATAGCTGGGTAAACGTTGTTCCTGTCTGGATACTGGATAACATTCTGGATCAGCTCATCTTCCCCAAGCTACAGAAAGAGGTAAGACGAGAGGGCTGCGTTAGAATGAAGCTGTGCTCTGAACCAGTATTTGAATTTCAGTCAACTAGAACTTCTAAAATACCTGTTTGCTGCCTCTGCCGATGCATTTAGGAGTAGGGGGTTGCATTATGGCTCTTTTTGCATCTGGCAAGACTTACTGCTGATGGCTGGACTTACCTTAATCTTTTCTGTTTTACCTCAAGGTCGAAAGCTGGAATCCTTTGACAGACACAGTCCCAATCCATTCGTGGATCCACCCCTGGCTTCCCCTGATGCAGGCACGATTAGAGCCGCTGTATTCTCCCATCCGAAACAAGCTGGCAAATGCACTGCAGAAATGGCATCCCAGTGACTCCTCTGCCAAACTTATCCTTCAGCCCTGGAAAGATGTGTTCACACCTGGGTCATGGGAGGCTTTCATGGTCAAAAACATCGTGCCTAAACTAGGTGAGACAAGCCAAACGGTGCTGAATTTCTGGAATCTGCTTGTTGCCATCTCCTCCCTTACACCTAGAAAAGATATGTGTTAACATGGTTGCCAGTGTTACTTCAAAGAATATTATTAGGAAGTTTAGATCAAGCTTGCATCTTCTTTTCTGCTACTAGTACCGTGCATTTTTGTCAGAGGCAGACATTTTAGAAAATATGGGGAAGTGCTTGGATTATTCTCAATGTTTTCTGTCTTACTCTTCTAAATCATCTGATTCCTCTGGTCTTCAGCTGACAGGAATATCTGCTAGCTGTCAGATAGTACCAAGCTATAAAATACCTCTCTGTTACTCCTGTATTCTTTGGTCTATGCTAATGCTTTCACCGTGAGACTTTTGTAATTCACCATTCAGCTATGCAAACTGGCTAAAAGGCTCTGTAGTCTTTTTTAGACTACAGTCAAACGTTTTAAGTTTCTCAGTTCTGGCGGCAAATTGTAATCACTGGAAATGGAAGCGCACTGTTTCGGTGGCAGGGGTCAGCCAAACAGTTTAAAGACCCCGAATGTCCCTTAGGGTAATATGCAACACAAGTGCTCCTCAAATCATCTGTGTTGCTAGTGAAATAGGTCAGGGCACTGAAAAACTGTGAGGCAAGTTCTTTTCTAACTCTTCTCCTTTTCCCAGGGATGTGTTTGAATGAACTCATCATAAACCCTCACCAGCAGCACATGGATGCCTTCTACTGGGTGATTGACTGGGAGGGGATGATTTCTGTCTCCAGTCTTGTTGGGCTGCTGGAGAAACACTTCTTCCCAAAGTGGCTGCAGGTGAGAAACTATCAAGGCTGAGTAAACAGGCTTGATTCACTGTGTTTTAGTGACTCCTGCCTAGCAATTGCTGCCCCAGTGCTGAAATGGTTTAACTACCAAATGGGGTGATTTCCACTCATAGCTCCATACACATCAGAACAGACTGTTTCCTAATACTGTTGCGGTCCTTTCTTTTACTGAAAGCTCAGTAATAAGTGATAAGGACTCTCTTCCATAAATGTACCTGTCCTACTGCATTTGATCTGTCATGTTGTTTTGCAGGTGCTGTGCTCTTGGCTTAGTAACAGCCCCAATTATGAAGAGATTACAAAGTGGTACTTGGGTTGGAAGTCCATGTTCTCAGACCAAGTGTTAGCACATCCATCGATCAAAGACAAATTTAATGAAGCTCTTGATATCATGAACCGGGCTGTCTCTTCCAGTGTTGGTAGGTGGCTTATGGTGATGGCTCCGCTTACTGTGATGGCAGTACAGCAACGTTTGGTTCCTGTGAGTCTGCATTTAGGCATGGCCCGGCTAATCAGCTTTGTAGCAGCTCCCATGAGCAGTGAAATTCAAAGTGTGTTGTACCTTGCTGTGTCCATAAATAACACCCCTAAGGTGCTACTTAATAATTGTCTGTGCTTCACTGAAGCAGAAAAAGATTTTGGTTTCTGGGTGCCAAAAAGGACTGTTGTGCTTTAACCTCAGCCGGCAACTGAGGACCGCGCAGCCGCTTGCTCACTCTCCCCCTCCCCTGCCCGGTGGTATGGGGGAGAGAATCAGAAGAGTAAAAGTGAGAAAACTCGTGGGTTGAGATAAGAACAGTATAATAATTGAAATAAAATAGTAATAATAACAACAATAATAAAAGAATATACAAAATAAGCGATGCATGATGCAATTGCTCACCACCCACCGACTGATGCCCAGCCAGTCCCCGAGCAGTGGCCCTCCCGGCCAGCTTTCCCCCAGTTTCTGTACTGAGCACAACGTCCCATGGTATGGAATGTCCCTGTGGCCAGTTTGGGTCAGCTGTCCTGGCTGTGCCCCCTCCCAGCTTCTAAGTCCTTGACTAGTGTAAGCACTGCTCAGCAACAACTAATTAACAACATCGGTGTGTTATCAACATTGTTCTCATGCTAAATCCAAAATGCAGCACCGTACCAGCTACTAGGAAGAAAATTAACTCTAGCCCAGCCGAAACCAGGACAAAGTGTTATGTTTATTTCTGTGGTAAAATGATACAACTACAGGCAAGTGTTGCACAAAGAGGAATTCAACTATGGAGAAATTTCTGGCACGGTCCTCGTGCAGCCACAAAGTGAACTGGGGCTGATAGCGAAAGCACTCCTGATGCAATGCTGCTTCCTGCAACGTGGTACTGCTCCATCCTTAGCCTGACTTTGCAGCAGTAGCCGTTTGTAACCCAGCGGTGGCCTGTGGAGACCACAGCCCAGGTTTTGGCTTTGAGGAGTATTTTTTTGTTGTTCACATTTTTCCCTTTGCCAGTAGCAGTGCAGCATCCTCCTCTCCTGTGCGTGCTCAGATACAATTTGGGATTGTAACAAATCCTGTTGCTTCTGCTGCAGTTCTCAAATTCACCTAGCTAGTCTATGTTGTATTAGCAATAACAATATAAAACTTAATGAATTAGAATGTGTAAAGGAGGTTTCAGAGCATTATTGATTGACTTTACTGTATGTGTCCTGGACTGGAAGTTTACCCGTAGACCTTCCACCAGAAACGGACTGGGACCTTGTTTTCACAAGTTTTGTCTCTCCAAACAGGTGGGTACATGCAGCCAGGCGCTCGAGAGAACATCGCCTACCTTACTCACACCGAGCGGAGGAAAGACTTTCAGTACGAAGCCATGCAGGAGCGTCGGGAGGCTGAGAACATGGCCCAGCGCGGCATCGGCATGGCCGCCAGCTCTGTGCCAATGAACTTTAAGGACCTAATTCAGACAAAAGCAGAGGAGCACAACATCGTTTTCATGCCTGTGATTGGAAAGCGGCACGAAGGGAAGCAGTTGTATACATTTGGGCGGATTGTCATTTACATCGACAGAGGCGTTGTGTTTGTACAAGGAGAAAAGACTTGGGTGCCAACCTCTCTCCAGAGCCTCATTGACATGGCTAAGTGAGGCCCCCGCTTCGAACTGTGAAGACCATCTTGCTAATATTTTTAGTGTAACTGTCTTAGAATAAAGAAGCTACAGATTTGTAAATAGAGTGAAACCGTAGCTGTATGTCAGGGTTTTTTTTCTTAGAAGAGCTGTTCAGGCACTGTCAAGAGATGAAATCACGTGTGGAAGTCGGTGCCAAGGGAGGAACAAGCAGTTCCGATGCTTGTGTAATTGCCACCTGTGACAGAGGTTTATCAGCAGGTTAGGAGGGACCATGGGAGGTGATTCTCTGCTCCAACAGCAGATGAGCGAGGGCTGGTCTAGCTGAGTCCTGAAGGTGACAGAGATGTCACAGCTCTGGCAGCGAGTTACTGTCCTACTGTCCCGACAACATCCCTCACCCAGTGGGCTCCTCTCTACCACGCACAGCTGGGACTCGTCCCACCTCTCCCTGGGTGTGCTGGTGGCTCCTTCAGTCTGGTGCCTGCCCGCAGGCCATCAGCCGATCAGGGTGCCCTCTCTGCCCTGTCAACGCAGAGCTGGAAGGGGGGAGATTTTTTCCAGCAAATTCACAGAACGTGTCCTGTGGGACCGCAGCAGTTCAGGGCACAGAGGTGAGGGAGGGAAACAGAGGCTTTTTGTCCCTAGAGGGAGATGACCTGATTCTTCATAGAACAGATAAAGTGCTGATTTCAGTAGCGCTGAGCAGCTGAAGGCCCCTGCCACTGAGAAAGCTTTTCTAAGCCTGCATTTGGAACTAGACGCCAATACCTTCAACTACACCCCCCTCTCAAATAATTCCCCCTTCCCGATGCTTCGAAATGTGCGTAGTACACGCAAAGGCTTTGAATTGTTTGTGAAAGAGGAGGGGATCAAAAGAACAATCATTATGCAGTACGGATGGCTTAAAAGGCAGGTTTTAGTTAAATTTGTTCGCTGTATTTAAGTGAGTGTAAGTCAAAGCACAGCTTTACCTTTTATTAAGTAATTAGGATACAAAAATGTCCCATCACGCTCAGTGTTTGGGTGCTGCCGCTTTTGGCGGAGCACGATGATGCTGCCGGTGCTTGAGCTTCATCTCAGCTGCGTAGGAGCTACTGTGGGACAAGAGACGGCCCCAAGGCCCCACCCCTGCTGCAGAGAGCGGTCAGGACTCCGCCGGTCAGCTCTGTCCTCCTTTCTGATGATCTCCAAGTTGTCACAGTCTTGGTACGTCGGCTCCTCCGTGAAGTCCCAGACCTCGGGGGAGAGTTCCTTCAGTTTTTGTACGGGAAACCAGTGGACGGAGGTGTCGTTAAAGGTGTCCAGGTACCGAGGGTGAGCGGGGAGTGCCACTTCCTCTGTCCCTTTCAAGACCTAAGGAGCATTTTGGGGAAAAAGTTAACGTACGACGCAGAAGAACTTTTCTGCAAAGCTCAGTTAGGAGTCGGTGAAGATGAGGACGGTGTTACGCTAACCCAAGCCCTGTGTGCAGCGTGTTCTGCAGGTCATGTAGAATGATCCTAAAGCAATTCATTTTTTATATTGTAGTGGCCAGGAAAAAAGATTATAAATTGCAATGGGAAAGAAGAGGGTGGTTATTTTTATTTCCTTTCTCATTAAAAGGTGCTTTTAATGAGAATGTTAAAATAATGTTAAAACAACAATAATGTTAAAAAAAACTAGTGACTCGTACCTTTGCTATGTAAGAATAATCTCTCTCCAATATTCGTGACAACAACCTAGAATAACACAAGGTAGCCAGCATTAGACACATGACGCTCCCGTGAATTTGGACAGCTTTTCTGAACAGCCGCGTGGGATCGAAAAGGTGGGAGGTGGCTGATGACCGCAAACAGGACAGCAAGTTGAAAGCGAGCAGAATCTGGAAATCATTGTCAGAAGCAATACAGAAAAAGGCGTAAAGGAGGCGAGGAGAGGAAAACGCCGTTGGAGGCACCCGCCCCTTTCCCTGCGGGGGCTGCACGCACCTCTCCTCGATTCCTTTAAAGCTGTTCCCGATGATGACCATTTTGGACAGTGCCCCTGCGGACCAGTTCCTCCACAGGAGGTTGTTGTACAAGGCTTTCCCGCAGTGCACCATGTAAAACAGCGTGGCCGATCCCTCAATGTCGTGTTTCCCCTCCTGCACGTAAACCAACGTTTCCCGTTACAGCCGAGCCCCGGCAGCGGGGGCTAGGATGGTGCCCCCCC